GCCCTGCGCATGCGGCCGCCCCGCCCAGTCGCCGGGCAGGAGTGCTGTGCTTGTCTTCTCTTCCTTCCCCTCCCCTCTCCCAGCGAGGGACGCGAGAGGGCAGCACCCCGGAGATCCGCCCGCCCTGTGCCTGCACGGTGAAAGGGGAGTTGTGTCCCCTCACCTCAGCCGCAGCAGCCGTACCGGCACAGGGCCGGCGGCCGCTCCGGGGAGCTTGTAGGCAGCGGGGGCTTTCTACAAATCCATCGTGGTACGCCCAGGTACGTGTTTCGCTATGCGAAAGGGTGGCGGTCGGCGCAGGCTGAGCCTCGTTTTGAAGCATGAAGGGCGCAGCAGCCAGGAAGCTCCTGCGTTGGTGACGTCCTCTCCGCACCCTCTGAACGTGCTCATCTTTTGGCTTCATGTACAGTGATTTGCGATCTTCCTGCCTTACTTGATAGAGGAATGGAAACTGATGAAGCCGTTGGCGAGGTTATGGGTGTGACATGTTAGGGTTGAGTCGGGAAGTCAGTGAAGCAGCACAGGGCCTTGGTGCCCAGCCAAGGCCGACTGGCGCAGGTACAGTGGAGGTAAAATTAGAGCCAAAACCACTGTAAAGCAAATAACGATTTATTCTACCAGAAGACAAATGCTAAGGGGTCCAAAACAAGGGCTTCTAGACAAAAGTAGTATCTTGTGTTACAGGAAAAAAAAACCAGATACACCTGTGTAAGATCTTTTAAACTGGAAAACCTTTGTTGTTGTTATCAGTTGTTTTTGTGCTAGAAGAAAATTACTGTCACTACCTGCAAAGTTGTCTCTTTCCTTAGGCTACATGACTGCAACAAAACTACTGCTAAAGACTCTAGGGACATCCAGACACGAGACCTGCAAACTGTTTAATATGTACAAAGACACTGACAACCTAACAAAGTAATTCCGCACGGATGCCGTTATTGGCTGTAAATTCACACATCACATTCCCCTTCCTCCCAAACCCCAGACAGACGCGTTTCATATTTGGTATCAGAGAAGCACACAACGGGAAGGAGCCCCTTGCTTGCCACTTAGGATCGCTGACCAGTCTCTACTATCATAAATAGCCAAGGTACATCTAAGCCTGTTCATAAGATGATTAAAAATAGTGAAAAAATGCTGTTCTACACTCTAGAAGTGTTATAATAATGGCAAAATATTGATTTGAAAGCCAGCTATTTAAAAAATGAGAAGTGCTTAAGCGTTGCCTAAGACCTACGCAATTAGGCTTTAACAGCTTAGAGCACTCTGTGTATGACAACAAACCATTTCCCCCATGCCAGGTTCCTTGGATTAGAGTCAGAAACGGTTAATGCGTCTAGCTTAACGACAGATATACGCCCACAAACACATCATACAGATGAACCGATAACTTATCTGCCCCATGATATTATGTTCAGAGTTCACGACTGCTCTCAGGAAAACAAACCATGAGCGAGAACATGTTAAAGAGCTCTTTATTTAATGACAACTGTTAATGGCAAACATACCAGCATTTGGTCTTTGCTTTTACCTTTACAAAAATTTTCTTTTTTAATAGAAATAAAAAGAGATTTTCCAGTAGAATTGGAAGTTGCAATTTTCCTCCTACAAAATTATATTTTTTTAAGGATAAAAATAAAAGTAATTCCAGTTAAGTGCAAATTTCACTTAAGACATGACATCAGTATCCAGTTTTCAAAGCCAGCAACATTATGATATATACTGTACCTGGTTTTTCATGTATGGGTATGAATAAAAATTCTTCAAAAAAGTATTACTCGAGTACCAAGAAGTCAAAAGTATGTCTTCTAGTAAGGACAGTGAGTTTCTTTTACTTGGACGTCATCAACATGGGTGAAAAGTGGTCAGCACTCCTAAGCAATATTTAATGCAGCTGATATCTTTATGATCCCACCTGTTTTTTCAGCTAAAAAGAAATGCCATGAAATAAATGCAGTAACTTTTTAGTATCATTTAAGGGGAAATGTTAAATAAGTTTAAGCACAGAATAAATTTTTTTAAATTGACTGATAAAACCAGTTCATGATGATCAAAATACAGTTTAATAAAATTGAATTTGGCAGAGCAAACATTTAAAACTGACAAGTATTTTGAACTCAAAACGTCAATAAAAGCACAATACATTACTTCCTAAAAGTAAAAAGTTATCAGGATAAAAAGGAACACAAGATGCAGGTTTTTTTGTAACTATTAAAACCTTTGTCTATAACAATGTTTTGCTGTGACAAACCTCATCTCTGAAATATACACATACATTTCTGGAACTGTGTTTCCTAATGGGTATAGCCACAGGGATAAATACGGAAGTAGAATAAATGTCCGCTATGGAGCTTCTAAGAGTCTCTCTGAAGACTGAAATAAAAATGTTTTTTCTCTATTTTTATTTACCTTTTTTATTGATGTTATTTAGATTCCTTTGTTTCTTGTATTTCTGTTCTGAAATTCCCATTTACTTACGAGACTAAGCAGAGGATCTGTAGAAATGAGTGCTTATTAGGACCAGAAGAGGGAGCTCAGATTAGTATTTTTATTAAGTTAAAGCAGTATGTAACAGTGTAGAATTTAAAGATAAAGGTACTTTTAAAACATTCATTAGACACTTTGATATATTATGCATTTAAATTAAAGTTAGAGATTAACCTCTGATTGGCATCTGCAGTAATAGCTCACAGTTAAGGTAAATGGCCTTTTTTAATCTTTGAATTTGGGCAACTGAGCCTTCCATTCCCTTCTCACTCAGATTCCAGCTGCCTCCATCAGCTGCCATACGACCTGCATACACTCCCAAGAACACTCCTTCCCTCCCACAGCTGATACCTGAACAAACCAGCATGTTTGCTGGCACCAAATGTGTTCAGCTTCTTCTTTTCCCCTGCCGACCAGGCACATAGAGGCATTCTCTCTGATGGGAATCGGAGCTTTGTGAGCTGCTCCCAACTCTTGCTATAAAGTCTCACTACAGACATATCACCTAAAAAGTCTTCAGTCCAAGAGACATCTTCAAGTATTTTTAAGGACAAACCGACTTACACCTCTCTGTTCTCAAAGGAGACTAACAAAGTTAGCTCAGTCTCTGCTTTTGCCTCCTGAACTGCAGCCTCTGTCAGTTATTCCGTACCAAGTTCTTGCTGTGCTGCTTCACAGATTTAAACCACCACGCAATGTTACCAAATTTTAAATTTTCCTGTCCTCTACCTTTAACACAACATATGCTGCCGCACTTGTGAATACGGACAAAGAATACAAAAGCACATCTCCCTTCTTGAGGGAGTCAGTCTGTTTTGGATTAGACATGATGAAAAAGTATCTGTTGGATAAATAAGTTTATATCAAACACTATGTAATTATTTGTTTACATGCAATAAATAGCATATCCATTTCCATTTAATGTTTTCAGAAGTTTAGTGTAACAAAATCATTGTTATAGACAGTATCAGACGAACAAAATGGGGAGAACGGTACCACTAGGGAAATCTGGAATAAAGTATACAAGCAGGATCCCTTCAAGTAGCTAGTAAGTAAGTGTGGAAATGGGTTTACACATGTACAGAACTTAACATGTAAATAACATGTAAATAACATTTATAACTCTTCAAGAACAGAGCCTAGAGAAGTGTGAGAAAAGGGTATGTTTGAATTTTATGTAAAGATGATGAAACCAACAGAAAGGAAAAAAAGATACAAAGCAAAGATTAACAGAACAAATCCCACAAAGTAAAAATCCATGGACAAGAGGAGTAAGGACTCTACAAATAAAGTATTTCTCATAAAATTCTAAGAATAGGTCATATATTTTCTTTGTCCTACTACAAGGTAATACTTAAGCTCAGAGAGAATAAGCACATATTTAAATAACAGTTCTGTAAATCTCTTAGTATGATTTTCCATTCTCAAAGGAACAACTATGTAACAATTCTGGAGATTAGAAACGCATTGACTAAAGTACCAATTTTATTACAACATGACAATTAAAAATTAATTTCAGGAATAGAACAAAACAGCAGAATAAGGAAATGAAGAAAGAAGTATGAAGGTAGGCACAGCAAAAAAAAAAACTCTTCAATACAATGATTAGCACTGTGTCATATAATAAATATTTGTTTATTAATCTCATGGCTTCTTTGATGGTGCTGGACTTTTCTCTTTCCATTGAGCAGCCTTCTTTTTCAGCTGTAACAGACACCAACAATGGTTCAAGCATTAATTTGCAACTTGGCTAGTAATGCAGTATTAAATCTCTACATCCAGCCATAAATTTACCAGAGTGATATAGGCAATGGAGAGAGCTACGGCTCATTATTAGCCAATCTAGCATTGCTTACTTTTCCGTCATAGAACAAAGGAGCGCTTCCATAGCTCTGCAGCTCCTCCCGTATTCAAACCAGGGCTGCCTTTATCCCTGATAATGCCAATTTGGGTATTTATGTATCCCTTGAGGCCAAAGTGCCTCACAAATGTTCATGGTTTTATCTTTATGTCAATGAAAGGTAAATGAGTTTTATTACAGACATGTAACAGACACAGACTAACCAGCGTGCATAAAAATCACATAGGAAGTTTGTTGCCGAGGTAAATGCTAAACCTCCATCTCAGTGCCTCCTCGCTGACACACTCATGTCTTCCCCTCATAAGATTTTTCTACACAGTAGGCTCTTATAGCATGGTATGATTTACCAACACACATACATTTAACTCTGCCATTTTGTAGTAAGAGTATTAATCCAAACAAATATGTTGTTTTTAGAAGCAACATTTGTTCTCGAGTACTGATACATTGGTGAATGAAATTTTATTTTGAGCAATTATATAAAAGGGATGCATGGGCTTCTGCATCTCATCTAGCATAAGATACCATGTTGCTATCAAAGATGCAAGGCAAAAATAAAATAATATTTTTAACATGCCTTTTTTCCCCATAAAATAGTGTCAAAAGGAAGCAAGGCCCCAGGCCTGATTTGGGTGTCTCCAAATGAACTCACTGCTAAGCAATCCTGTTGTTGGTCTACAGAGGACGTAATTTTAAAACATTTTTCCATAGTTGCAGGCTTGAGGTTTGTATCTGAAATTCCTACTACGTTTTGCAAAATAAATCTTAGGGGTCAAAAGAAACATAAGAATTTGGATTTGATAGTAACATGTTTTCTCCTATAAACTGATACTGTATTTGTAACATCTTACCATCTTTTGTGATGGTTTCCAAAACAAAGAAAATTATTTAAAATTTCACAAAGCTAGAACTGCTTTCTCATTAACAAACACCTTGTTGCAAGCAGCAAACATAACAGACATTAAGATTTTTAAAGTTCATTATGCAGCATTGCCTTACAAAAGAAGTCATAAACAGTCAAGACATATTTCCAGCAGAGATGATGGAGCCAAGGAGCTAATATGGGGAAAGAATAAGTATTGAAGCATCTAAGTAACCTACACCACAGGGCATTTAAATTTATGATACAGTCAGTGGGGTGGAGGAGGCACCTCTAAGGGGGTGATTCAGATCATCTAAGAAGAACGCACCAGATTTAGCCCAACTACACAGACATTCGTAAGGAAAAGAACATCATAAAGTTTTATAAATGAGGTAGCAAACACACATTCCTAAATGTCACAGGGGACTTTCTGTGAGTCTGCTTTGTTGTTTCTTTTTGTCACATAGTAAAATATTTTGTTTTGCTGTACTGGAGAGTTATCTCAATAAAAATATGCCCAGTTAAGGTATATACCATCCCAGACATGACTGACCTCTGAAATCCTGCAATAGCTCACAACTGTATTTAAAACTCTATTTTAAGGAGCTCGTGTTTTCTCAGGAAGACAATAAATGATATAATGCATTTATATGCCACTTAAATCATACATTTATCTTTTTTAGACATCCTCTTGTGAAAATGTATTTGAATTAAGCAATAAATGTGATAACTTGCCTGTTATTGGTAACGTTTTTCGAAGTAAGCCATGTCATCATCTTCTGAACGCTTTCCATGAGAAACTTGCCTTGTGGCACTAGAACCACCTGAGAAAAAAAATAAAACCTTTTTCATTAATGATACTTGCTATGCCATTGGTTATATTTGACATTTGGCAAAACACATTTAAAATAAGAACTCACCTTTACAGGCAAGTAACAAACCCCAGCAATCGGAACTAAAGGATACCTCTTTAGTCTAGGCTAGCAGCTACTATAAATAGTTGTGGAGGAGTTCAACAGTTATATTAATTGCTAAATTCTTATACTAAATCAAGGACATGAAATAATCATAGCCAATCCATAATTCTATGCAGAAAAGACTTTCTGGCAGAAGGCAGTTTCACAGGATTGCACTGAATACATACGATCCATCCAGATACGATGAGCTTCTAGTAGGAATTAAAAATGTAAAAAACTGATCCAATGAATAAGTGACACTTCACATTCACTAATGGGCAAGATACCAAATGCTAGGAAAAAATCATTAAAGTTAAAAAGTACATAATGAGCAAAAATAACAAGCAGTAACAAAAGTTATTCTAAGCACTTCAAGATTGTTGTACTAACTTTTCACATAATAAGGCTTCAATACTCGTGTTAATTTTTAACTTCGATTTTATCCCTAAACATCCTTCAACTAATAAAGGCAGGCAATTAATTTTACTTTAAATACTTTTTGTAAAACAGCATTATCCTACTTGTATAGTACCTGCTATCTGGGAGATGTTTTGTGCAGAACTAGAAGGTCCCTGAAATGCTTTTAGAAATGGATGATCTGTGCTGGTAACAGGGGATTCTAAAAGTTGAGCAGAAGGAGCCCCTGTTAGAAAGTAAGTTGAAGGAAAACAAAAGTTAACTTCATGAGATATATTAAGAACATACATGATAGGGTCAAAACAAGGTTACAGATTCATATCTACAGCACTCAGTGCAGACCACAAAAGCATTACAGAGAATGGTTTCAAAATAAATTAAAAGCTTTGGTTCTTTAATTACTACAACTATGCTATACTTTCTAAACTTCAGAGAAATACAGGAAGTGAGATCAGAATTTTAAAAAGAAATTAGTACATGGCAATAATAAAAGTAAGAGAATTTCGGGACAAAATCTGTCTTACTACTAGACGGCATAAAACCATAGAGCCACAGAGGTATCAAGGCCAACTAACATGCCTGTCAAAAATAAAAGTTCTACAAATTACTTTTTTTTTTTTTTTTAATGCTGAACAGCTATTAACGTATGAGGTTTGCGGGGAAAAAAAACTTGGGGGCGGGGGGGAATACTGCAACTGCATAACAAGAGAGTACCTGGGCAGTATTAGGCTAAAGGTTTAACATAAATATAAAATGGAAGTATTAAGAAAAAAACAAAGTTACAGAGTTCTTTCTAAAAGATATACCCAAATTCAACCAGAAGCTACTGGACAGAACACCACAGTTATTGATAGAGAGTTTTTTCTATCAACAGAAAGTTGGACAAGATGGTCACAGTGGTCTTTTCACACCTAAGGACTGCTAGAAAAAAAAAACAATCTGTCTTAAGTCCTGTTCCTATTAATCCAGTTTGCTTTCAAAAGCCGGAAGTCTATGTTGAATCACTACTTTTCAAAACTACCTAGTTGGAGAATTAAAATTTCATCTCAGGTCAGCCCCACTTACCTATTCCGCTGTCATCGAGTCTCATATAGCCTTCTGCTAGTGAACTAAAACCAGTCAGTCCTCCCATAGCAGCGTAAGGAACATCCTGCCCCACAGGCTTTCCTTGGGCTAAGCGCTCTTGTTTAGTTTCCACCACTGTTTCATGAGCATATGTTGGCTGACCACATGCACAGGTAAAGCAACTATGAAAGCCCGAACACTTGGAACCTAGTTAACAAATAAGTGTAATGAGTGAGATGATCATGGGATTTATACTTCATTGCAGACAAAACGGTGCTCCCCTAAACTGATCTTGCAAAACCTGGAGTTCCTTCACTCCAAAAGCATCCAGTTGTGCTTTCTATTTGGAAGCACGTATGTGATTTAGGGCAAAGCAATCGGCTATCTTTGCTGAAACCTTTTGCAGCCTCTTTTCATCACAATATGAAAATGCTGTATAAAACAAGAGAAAGGATGAATGTGGGGATTAGATCATATGGGTCATCCAGTCTCAGGATCTCATCCAGTCAAGTTTTGAGTACCTCTGAGGATGGAGATTCCACCTCTCTAACCAGTCTGGACCAATGTTGGACTTCCCTTGGAGCAGACATTTCTTTCTGAGCATCTAATTAGATTTCCTCTATTGCAACTTGTGTCCATTGCCATTAGTAACACCGTTCTCTATCCTTCCCCCGACAACAAATAAAAAGAGAAAAAATTCTGTCACTGCATAAAGACAACAATCTGCCAGCATTTTCGTAGTATTATCTCCAAAGGTGTACAGCATGTGTCAGTGATGCATGGCCAGAAAACTTCAAATAACAATTTATGATATAAATCACAATTTACATGTCTTTCAAAAAATTAGCAAAATTATCTGGGTAGTAAACAGAGGCTGTGGCAACAGCAAAATGGGTTCTATGTTAAATGTACCATTAGGTTGACTTTCAGAGGTTTTAAGCTTACCTAGGCACAGGATCTAATGAAAATAGTTATACAAATGACATGCGATGTTCAGAAACACAGAGTGAAGTGAAGTCACGTCTGTCTGCCCTAGCTATGGCTAATACGGTCCATCATTGCTGAAGCAATGGTGTGAACAAGAAATTGAGGAACTGATTTTGCAAACATTTCATTATACAAAATTGCCCTGCTTCCAACTCTCAGTTACAGTTCATTATGAAGAGCACCAAGAAAGATTTTTTTTTAAGTCTTGTGTAATATGTTCAAGGATCACATCCTTGGAAACATTACAGGCTTTTTCGTATCATTTTGGGCACTCCTCAGTAACAGAGCTCTAACTCTGTGTTTGAATACAGAATAAAGTCTATACAATATATAAAGTGCAACAGCAGTATTTTTTTCAATTATAATTTATCTATAACATTAGATTTATACAACACTGGACTAGACTAACACCAATACATTAAAACAACACAAGTCCAAAATAGAAGCAAGCCTTGGCACTTCTCTGTGTAATCTCTGAAGCCCTCAGAAGTGTCACATATTTTTGAGAAACACCAGAAAAAGTGTGTAACGTAAATGATTATTAAAAACACTGTGTTCTAAGGATTCAGTCTGAATCATCCAATTGCACATTTAAGACTTTCACATTACTTAGAGCAAATTCTTGAAAGGCTGTCATATAAATATTTTATGTTTTATTCTGTGGGATATGACTCTCATCCAGCAAAAGCTGTTTATGATTTTTCCTGCACAAATTAGACAGGCTTCATGAAAGAAATTTACTGACAGTATGGAACAAAAAAATCTTCCATTTATGTAATTTGAGGTTTCAAACTAAAGCATCTTTATGCATTATTTAGTTTCTGTCGTTAACAATTACTACTGTTTCATTACAATAACCTCAAACAACAGAAGCAAAAAGTCTCCTCTTAATGTCTTCTCAAACCTTTTGCTTGAAACTCCATTCCCATTTACATTTCTGGACCCACAAACTGTATGCTTAGGAACTCCTTTGTTAGACTGCTAACAATAGTACTATTTGGGAACAGAGTGCTACTTCCTATCGAGTTGAGAAAAGATATAAAAATACATTAACGTTACATTCAACCAGGCAATACAGGAACAGAGATCAACACTTCTCTCTCTCAAACTACCAAGTTCAAGTAGGAAAGTCACGTGCGGGCAGCAGTGGAAGTGACAAACTGCAAATGGGGTGCTTTCATACTGCCTAATATTAGGCAGCTGTCTCCATATGTACCTAACTTAATCATTCAAAAACTTAATGCTTCTTCACAGATGGTGGGGAAGCTAAGGAAGTCATTCTAAACCCTCCTGTGCAAAAGGCTGTGTCTTCCTTCCCATCTCCTATCCTTCTGCAAGGACCAAAATACACGTCACTGACAAGTGCAGCACATACCCAATACTCTGGGCACAATACGCGTAACATGCTGTTCCTGTTCAGTTTCCCAGCAAAGAATGCTGCAAGTTATTGCATCAGCATCAGCAACTTACAAGAGTTACACGAAAATCCAGATGCTGCACTGTGCTGGTCAGCAAAGTGTTTGCATCTACAACGGATGGGCTGTGTGCCATTTAGAGGGACGTAGTGATAGGACTGGCACGGACAACGGCTCACTCTACAAGGCACACAAATAGGACGGTCTTTGGGAATCACTTCATAGTCCGTTTTGTGTTGTTTATACCTAAAACAGGCAAAAATTATAATTTTTATAACTTTGTTAGCATTTATCACAAAACTGAAAGGTTTATATCTTACAAGTTATATTTTGAAGTATCTTTGATTATATTAATTACTGTTAATTGTTAATTTACCATTAAATGCATAATACCAGGTGCTTTTACATTCATTCATTACATAAATATCACAAATCCTTATGTTTCACTTCGACAGCACAATCAGAATCAATCTGATCTACAGTAACTTGTGCCTTGAAGTTGAATTTATTGAAGACTACAAAATCACTCTGGTCTCAAAATAAATGTACCGAGATTTACATTTAAGGACAATTCTTATGATTTAAAACCTCGTTTTCTCAACCCTTAGACCTTAAATTAACTTGCCTGTACTGTACCATAAGGTAACTGCAAACACTTTACATTTTCCTGAGTTTAAAAAATACAAGAGCTCAAAAAAATGAAAGGATTCCTACCGATGAGTACAAAAGCACAGTGTCTCTGGTCCCACAAGCTTACAGTCCATGCCAGTTGGTGATTGCCAGCTCACATACAACCTGTTTTGTAACCGAATTGGTAACACTTTTCTTTTGTACTCCTCATACTCCTCAAGGGTAAAGAGCTTTCCTCCATCATCATCACCTACAATTCTGTAAGCACATCACAAAAAAAACAGTGAGAAAATTAAGACAATAAAGGTAGGTTTCTCAAGATATTTTTTCAAATAATATATAACAACACTTCTGCTGTAAATGCAAAAAAAAATTTATCTTTCATAATACTGTTCTAGTGTTTTATGTTTAAGAGAACTGTAGCTGAACTGTAGAGAAATTTTGTGAATAATGCTCTTTTAAAAAATTTGCTCTGATGGTCTGAAAACCAGAGTTGTAAGGGAGAATATTAATAAAGCAAACTACCAAGCTCCCTTTCATACGGCAGAAAAAGCAATGGGCACCAAGGGCCAGCTCTGCCTCAGACTTCTTGAATGACCTCTGGCAAGTCACTTCACCGATCTACACCCAACTGCACTGCAGACTTGTATCAGGTTATCTAATCTTAGTCTAGTCTAAGATTATTCAGCTGCAAGTAGGTGACTACACTGACATCAAACAATACATCCAAGCTGTCTTCTGCTTTGCAAGACAACTATGCTAGTTTCTGTACATAAAGTTGATAGCAGCTGTTTCCCATTTGTTTAAGCAATCACTACATTCAAATTCAAAGTCACCAAACAGCTGGAACTCTGGAGCAGCATCCAAATTCTACATTTATGGAGACAATTGAAGATGGTAAGTAAAATCTGTAAAACGCAATTTAGACTTAACTGTAGCACTTAAGTATGCCGAAAGTTAGTTTATTAATGTCTGTAAATATGCCAGTTATTATTTGTTGGGTGTGCTAAAACATCCTGAATGAATGTTTGTCAAATATTCTGTGGATTTGTACATTGGCAGTACTGTACAGCATCAGAATAACGTGTCAACATATCACTGTCATTTGCCTGTCAATCCAGCTGACGCCTCCTGAATAAGAAAAGTCAGTGCCTACCTCTGGTGTTTTACTCAAGGTTTTCCTAAGCTAAATTAAGACCACATTTCAGTCTAACGACTCAGCTTTATTTTTGCTCAGGATCAACTCTTGAAGAGCGATGAGCTCAGCAAAGCCACGCAGGAGCATAAGGCCATGCGTTTATACACCGCAAAAGGTAATTCACGGTGCACGCAAGCACGTGTTTCCCGAGTCGTACCGTTGGCAGACTACCCTCTTGCACCACGTCACGCAGACGCGCTGCCAGGCAGGCACGCACGCAGGCCCTGGACGCGAGAAACGCTGCGTTACGTCACTTGCGGACGCTCACACTTGACAACGCGCCTTCACGCCGGCGAGGCGCGCGGGGCTCGTGTCCCTCAGGCCTGCCTCAGGTGCTCCTGGCCGGCGAGACGCTCCTTCCCCGCGGGGTGCCACGCCGGGCACCGTCACCCCGCTACTCGGGGCACTGCGATTTCGCCGATAAATGGCGGGAGGGCGGGGGCGACACAACGAGGCC